ACTTGTTGTAAATCTTCTAACATACAGTATATCTGTTCAATATGTTCATGTCTAGTTGGTTAAATATTCAGATTTGTTTGATATATTCTTTAGCTAACATCTATTTTACAGCTGTGTGTAAATTGATATTAAGGAGTTTTGTGACTACTGCATCTATAAATGTGATGTTTATGATTGCTTCTAAATCTGCCAATTCTGATGTTGTGTTTGTTGTGCCATCTTTAATTAAAGTATGGAACCACCTCTGTTCTTCTTTATTGTGGTTGTCTTTGATTGTTTTGAGATGTTCTATTATTAGGTTTTCTATTTGGGTTATATTGAAGTTAACTATTGTCTTGAACTTTTACTAGGTAAATACATATAAATTGAGTTGCTTTGCTGTTTGTTTTGATATATATTGATTTGCTTAAAACAGCTTATTATATGGTGTAATTATATCTTTTTGGTATTTGAAGTTGAGGCTATTATGTGTTTTGCCAAGGAGTTTGTGATCTGCTTGTTTTGATAAGTTTTAATTACACTTTGTTACTTGATTTGTAATGTTAACATGTTCGTGCTACTGCAGATCTTGCTTTGAGGTAATCTAGTTTTGGTAAACTTTGGAGCTGTTATGTACACGTGTTCATATTTTGGATTGTATTTGTTTGTTTGGTAGTTACTGTTGTTGTTTGGTTTGAAAAGTATGTGTTTGCATTACTGTTGATCTTTGAAAGGAAGTAAACTGTTTCTAGTTTTTTGTCTCCAGCAAAAATTTGATTGTGTAACAGTTGTTGTTTATCTTTAAACAATATTGAGATCTGTACTTTTCTTTTCAATTACAGTAGTGAGAAAGTCTTGGTACCCTTTTGATTTTGTGTTGATATGCGAGGTTGCCTAGTTTACCAGGTGTAATCTGACCAATGCTAAGTCCTGTCAATATCTAAGGAGGTATCTAACCTGGTGTATGACTGGCTGGCAGCTTGTGAAGTGCAGTGTTGACTTTCTTCTTTAATTTTACTGTGAATTGTATTCTTTGTTTATCCTTCTTTCCCAATAAAAAATCACAAGTATTTGTCTTTAAATTTGAGTAATAAAGAAAAATTACTATACTTTTGAATCCACAATATACCTGTTATATCTGTCCTCCTTTATTTTCCAAGAAGATATTGTAAGGTTTTTCCTTTGGTGTTTTCTTTAAGTGTTTCTTTAAATGTTTTGAGTGTTTTTTAGTATTATCAAAAAAAAAAATTTTTAGGAATTTTGAGATTTGCGGGAAAGAGTTTTTTTTTGTATATTATTTATTGCTATTTCAAAATATTAATTAAATCAAATATTGATTTTTTATAAAAGTTTAAATATATTGATCAAGTATTTGAGTTGCTCTGTTTTGTTATTTTTTAATATTATTGCTATTAAAAATTCTGGTTTTGAAGAGATCTTTTTTATTAATATAAAAAGATTTTGTATTAAATATTATTTTTTTTTTGGAGGGTTTTCCAGTAGGTAAGCATCATTTCTTTATTTTGATTTGTATATAACAAGATATATATTGTTGAAAGAAACAATATCTTTTTCATTATTTCAAGAAAGTTAAATACTAGCTTGCCTACTTATCAATATCTAACTAATATTGTAAAAAAATTTAAATCAATATTAATATGCTAGATAAGGCCAAGTAGTAGCTATGTCTATCATTCCAAGAAATTTTACAAATTCTTTTGATTTTTTTGATGTAAAAAATTGAAAAGAAAAATAAAAGTGACTATAACTAAAACTAAATCAAATATATTATAAGATCCATATGTTGAACAAAAGAACTTCCTGGTAGGCTTGTAGTCCTAACTCTCTGTCCTTTTGCATGCTATAAATAATAGAGTACACATGATGTTATTTGTTGTTATGGTTGTTGGTAGTAAGTTAGTTGTTATTGTTATTGTAATTCTTGTTATAATATAAAACTAATTTGAGCTTGTTTGGTTTTTGTTTTGATCATTAGATGAAATCTAATTGGATGATTGAAAAGCATTGATCATCTAAAGGGATAAATTGATTTCAGTTTTTTAAGTAAGAATTTTTTAAAGATTGAAGGTAGTGCAGCAAATATTGCTACAAAAATATTATGTATAAGGGTTGATTTAAAACAAACAGTAAATCCACTAACTTTGCTTAAATATATTTTTTGGAAAGTATTTGGTTTAGTGAGTATGATGGTAATAATGTGAATAATTTTTATAATAGAATAAGAGTAAGGAGAGATACAAGAGAACTGAAGAAAAGAGAACTGTCATGGACCTTCCCTCATGTAACCAAAAGATAAGCAAGACTTTTAAACTTGAGTAGACTTTGACCAGAGGTTTCATCCTACTGTACCAGTTGTCTTGAAAGTTCTTGAGTTTCTGAGCTGAAGTTTATTTGCAATAAAGAGAATAAAATATTTTTTTTTGCTTAAAATTATTATAAAGGAAAAATTTTTAACAAAATAGATGTAATCAGAAGAGAGTTTTTTTATATAATAGTATTAACTTATTTTAATTTATATTTTAAATATATTTATATAAAATAATTTCAATTATTTACTATATATTTCCAATTTTATCTCTTTTATAACTTTATCTTTTAAAAAAACTTTGAATAGATATTTATAGCTTTTTAATATTATATAATTATTATACTAGTTTAAAAAAATTTTTTAAATAAAGATTAAATAATTATTGTAAGCAAGTTAACATTTAATTTATTGCAAATTGCATATAAATTAGTTTTTTTAAAGATATATATCTTGTAATATATAATTAATAAAGAAATAATATTTGCTTATTAAAAAATAAATAAATAAATAAAAGATCAGAAATCATATCTTTATATAATTTAATTAAATTTAATTGAAATTCAATTAATTCAATATAATATATATAAGATAATTAATTAAACTATATTTGCTTTTTATAAGTATTAAACCAAAAATATATGATATATTTGATAATTTAAAAATATTATTTATCATACAACTATAGATTCATAAGTTTATTCAATTTAATTTATAATTATATATTTGTTATAAATCAAATATTAGTTTGCTTATAAAAAAATATTAAAAAAAAATATTAAATCAAATAATTATTAATTTAAAATTTTATAAAAATCATATTATTAAAAATCATATAAAAGTAAGAATAAATCAGTTAAATAAATAATTTAAAATTTATATTTTGTTATTTAAAAATTAAAAAAATAAATTGATTAAAACTGATGTATACAATATATACAGTATATATAAATAATGTATATAAAATTTTAAAAAACTTTTTAAAAAAAAAATAATAAATAAATAAATAAAACCCAATTATTAGTTATATTATTAGTTATGTATACAGCATATATAAAATAATAATAATAATAATAATAATAATATAGATATAAAATTAATAATCATAAAAAATAGATACTGTATAAAAATCAAGTTTAAATAATAATTTGGATGTATATTATTATAACAAATTTATGGTCGTTGTTTATATTAATATTAATTATTCAAAAATCACTTATAATCTTTTGAAAAAAATAAGCCTGTTAAATAATTTAATTTAATAAATTATAAAATAATATGCGTATATACAGTAATTCTGGTTTTTTTTTTTGGACCAGATTGCATATACAGCATATAAAATAAAACCAATTTTTTCATTAAATGAATGAATGAATAATAAATAAAAAAAATATCGTAATTCCAAGTTTATTCTTTGATTAAATTCGATTCTGTAATTTGAGAATTCTAAAAATTGCATTTATAAAAAGCACTTTTTTATTCCGTGTATACTTTATTATCAATTATTATCAATCACGAATACAAAGTGTCAATTGTTATCAATTTTCCTAAACGCAACTGTAATTTCTAGAGTACATTTAAAATTCGTAAACTGGATTAACGAGTCTGCGCGATAAACTTTTGATTACAATTGCGTATATAGTACATAATAATCCGTAATTTAAGTACTTAAAAACGTGATATATAAAATAATCTGATTAATTTGAAGCTTGCAGAATGCGCCTTCAGTTTGTTATCTCATCATTCTTTTGTGTAATAATCAAGTCATATCCAATTTCGAGGAATCTTATTGCTCGGCCTAAAAAAAAGATGCGTCGTTTCTTTTCACCGTCCGCAGAAGCTTTTCTGATTATCCAACACGATGTATGTCACTATGTGGCATGTGAAGCACAGAATTTACTCATGTTAGTTATAATATACACGTGATAAACATGCGTAAGTTGAGCGCAACGCGATTTCTGCGCAATCAAGAAAAAAATCAAGAATCATATAAACGACAAATCTCGGAAATAAGAAAAGTATTTTTGAATAAGTGCTTCTTTTTTTTTTTTTTTTTAATTTGATACCAGACCAAACCTGCGGTTCAAAGAACACGATGAAAGACGATGACGCCTTACGCCCTCCTAAAAAGTAAGCAAAAGGAAAACAAGCTAATAAAGTTTATATATATGTATATAAATAGACAATTTGGTGGTTAACTAAATAACACGTGATTTTTTTTAAAGGATGGTAGGAAAAAAAATAAAGAATGGGAAGGGATTTGGATAATATAATTTTAAAAATATATTTATAGGCGTTTGATACGTTTTATATATATGATAAAGAGATGAAAAGTAAAGATCTGAGCATAATTTAAGTGGCAAATATGAAGCAAAGATTAGGCATAGAAAAATTTACAAAACCAAAAAAATTTGCTCAATGCTGCCATCTCTTGTTCGATTACACATAACGTGGAAAAAAAAAAGTAAACCCTCCCAAAAATCTAGTAATAATTTGGATAATATCATGCTATGAAACATACAAAAATGTGTATAGAAAATTTTAAAATTAAAGCAAAGCAATGAAAATGAACAAACCGAACACCATTCATTGAATAAATAGTGGTGATCGAGATCGCATTGTTTCGCCTAAATTTTACAAAATAAAGGTCTTGTTCGACAGGTCACTAAAAACCAGACCCTTGCTCGTCAGATCACTAAAACCATTTGCTCGTCAGATCCCCGATACCGCTTGCTATGTCGGACACACCAATACCCATACTGTTTAAGGCAACCGCTGCAACGCCTGCACCGACGGCTGCACCGATACCTGCCCAAACCGCACGTCTCTTGTTACTTCCACTATAATTCAGGTATTTTTCTTCCGTCTGATCCAATTTTCGTTTCAAGCTCTGCACTTCTTCCTTGATGTTTTCGCGTTCACTCTCATCATCTCTAAGACGTTTTGAAGATTCCGGTTTTGCTTGAGAACGATACGCTAATCTTGGCGAAGTTCTTCTCTGGATCTTTGGCTCCGCTTCGGTTTTGGTATTTCCATTGGGCAAATTATTGACATGACGACTCGACGGAACCGAACGAGTCGTGGAGGAACCGTTTGTCTGGACTTCCGGTGTCTCCGGTTGACTTGCAGTTCCACGTTCACTCTAAATACATAATTTGATCGAAAAACGCATAAATATTGGTAAGGAAATAAAAAAAGGAAGACCTATATGCGTTCATGTATTTGATCATTTCCAGATGTACCTTGATTTTGGGATTATGTTGTTTTTTGGGAGTATCGAACCAACTGTTCTCTGATTCTAATAGTGCTGCAACATGTTCATATATATTATATTTTTGGGCAATATCCTTCGCTAAAAAAATATTAAGTAGAAATTCGGTGATATATTGTCAGTTGATTGTCAGGAATGTAACTTGTTTTATTCGTGTCACTTTTAGTATGAAATGTATATACCTCGTTCAAGAGGGACCCTTCAATTAACGAATTATCCAGCAACCGGAAATATGAAAAATAGTAAACAACGTAAGAGAATACCACACTTTGATAAATGATGAATATGAGAAACGTGAGCATATAAATAACATAAAGAATATTTACCAGACTCCTTCGAACCAGCCTTCCTCGATAATTCGCACGTCTTTAATCTCTTTCTTTAACTTTTCCAATTCTTGAAGCCAAGTGCTTTCGTCCTCGTCTCGAGGATATTTAATACGCAACAAATAATAGAGATTTACTTCATCAGTATCCTGTCTTCGCCAAACGTCATATTCGTCTTCATCGAATCTAAGTGTGATTTCCAAGATGGGAATACTGTCAACAAAGTGTCTATTGACAGCGTTAGGGTAAGAGGCAGATCGCCGCACGATCCGAGGTGATGAACGAGTTGGTGTGCTGTTTATACGTCTAGCACGGCCTCTTGCGCGTGGGGATGCCATTCTTCTTGTTGGTTTGGTTTCTGATTTACTAACTTTCTCCACTTCAGTGACTTTGTCGACTTTATCGATTTTGCCGACCTTATTATTTACTTTTTTGTTTTTGTCAATTTTATCAGTAATTTTTATGGCTTTCGTAGTATTTGTGTTATATACCATAACGAAAAAAAAAAAAATACAGTACTGAAAAAGGGAAGAAGGTTGCACTTTACACCTTGATTGGCTGATGTACAAGAGGCCCAGCGGGCAGAATTGGTGTTGACAACAAACCCTTATAAGGAAAATTTCTTATGTCACCCTGTTCGTGGCCCAAATTGTGTTGTCAAATGCGTGCACTGATGATTTTTTCTGCGTGATGATCACAACCAATTGTCTAATAATGGGTGACTACTTGGCAGGCATTAACCATAAGTTGGGCCAAACGCAGTATAAGAAATAATAACTGTATGCTGCCTCCTTCCTAAATTAGAATCTAATCCGAAAATCAACTTCCCCGATTTGTCTGATGGGAATCAAGGCAGATCAACGGATTTGTAATCCTAAATTTAGTAAATACGTAAAAATTTATGGATTTTGACATTAATTTTAAAAATGCAAATGCAAAGTTCCGCTAGTATCTTTTAAATTAAATATTACAAAGTGTATGTGCGTTCGTCATTACGTGTTTTGATGAACAATTGACCACAAATAATTTATACAGCAAATCAAATGTCCTTTTTTACACTTTGTTACAATTTGACAATTGTCTTGTTGCCTAATTAGACGCATATTAATATTTTTTGCAAAATATTTAGCAAGTAAATAGAAATTCAGGTAAATAAAGATTAATTTCTTAAAAAAAATTCACAAAATATACAAATCCAATAATGAATATATCATATTTATTTTAAAACAATACAGTGTGCATATCATATGATACCTTATTTTTTATTAAAAAATATAAATACATAAATTAATTGTAACTTTAATTGTAATTTTAATTTGTACTTTTAAATTGTTATGATTAATCAATCAACACGTTATATTATAATTAAATAGTGAAAATATATAAGGTTAATTATAGAATTTATGTATTTTTGCATAATTATTTTTTATAAAAAAAATTCAAATAAATATGTGTTATATTTAATTATAAAAAAAATTTTTTTTTAAATTACAATATTTAAAGTTTTCAAAAACACAAATTCTCATATTTAGATTAAATTAATCAAATGAAAAATTGATATGATAACAATATTTTAAATTATCATGATTTTTAATTTGACTTTATATTATTTTTTAATAAAATTTATATTAGTTCTTATAATGCTTTTTATAATAATTTTTAAATACTGAATCAATAAAATAATTTTTGAAAATTTTTATTTAATTTAACATAGAATCTCAAATATATATTTAATTGAAATTATTTTTTATAGATTATATTTATTACCATTTATTTGATAAAATTAACTAATAAAAATTTTGCTCTTATTTTGTATTGTAATATCAAAAAGTTCCATATAATAGTTGCTTGAGATATCATGTTTGTTTAACATTTTGATTTAAATAAATAAATGAATGAATTTATTAAATAAATTTATAGTATGTACAATATAATGTAATATTATCATTACAAAATGTGTTTGCAGTATTGGTTCACGTGACGTGTTCGAGTTTCTTGATCATATGACACAGACTACTTGGATCCAGCGTGCTTTTCGCTTTGTCGTGAAATTCTACATGATGGCTTGCCGGTTCCCATAAAGTAATATGTTATGCAATCAATAAAACAGTTTATCTTCATGATCAATTACTGGCAGCATGAGGTAAAAATGGATTGATTAAATTTTACAATATTAATGATTTGACAAATGTGATGGCAAGTAGTCTCGAAACTTTGAATCGTTTAGACCGTCCGTGTAGCATCAATTAATTAATTAATTAACCTAATTGTCTCTGATATATTATATTTTTCATTGATTTAATTGTGATTGTTAACTTCTTAACCCCGTATAAATATGTTTTGGCCTCTTGCGCAGACCGAAAACACTTTAAAGATGAAGGTTTGTCACATCATTTTCCTTACTTTCACCTTAGTGATGGACGCATTTCCCCATCCTTGCGATACAGACGCATTTTTTCCCATGATCCCTCCCATATGCTTTGGCCCCATTCCCAAGCTCATTAATGACGTCTCGTGTTGCTCAAGTGTCAAATATGAATCCGAATGTTGTAACGGTCATGTTTTTGGATGTTGCGATGAAACCGAACAGCAAGTCTCCTATTGTGATCAAAACGAAAATTCTATGACTTTGATTGAAGAGCGCGGGACGCCCCGAGTCATCACTCAACGATCACCATCATACTATGATGCCATCGATGAAGAATGCAATCAGGTTCAACAATCCAATTATTGCGATAAAAACATTGAAGAATGTTGCATGCAAAATTACCAAACCAATATTTCCAATGACAGAGAACAAGAATTCGCGTCGATTATTCGAAGACGACGTTTTTTAGGTAATGCACATCATTCTACGAAAGAAACGAATTGAATGTTTGCTGTGGCGGTCTGAAACAATGCTAGGCAGGCTGCTGTGGACATGCCTGCGCATGTCTACGAGGGTTGTTTATGTAATATCGTCGTTTTTTTTTTGTAGATTAAAAAAAGCTAGCATTTTAGTGTACAATGCATGCAGCAAAGTGTAATTATTGAAGATTATGTAATACAAAGAAGGCAAATGTTATTGTTTGACATCATCTTTTTTATTGTCACATCCAGAATATCATCTAAATATACTGTATTTATTTTAAAAAATCACCAGTGATTGATGTTATGTGGATGAGAAATAAAAATGATCATTTCAAATTTTTATGAAATCAATTTTTGGTCATCTATTAAATTTATAACCTGTTGATCTTTGAACCATTAATCTCACGTATAGTACATACTGTAGACATACTGCGATTGATATAAATTTTATAAATTTCATTTCTAGACAAATCGTACTTGATAAATTATAAATTCACTTGTCACTATCGAATCATATGTTTTTTTTGCACGTATTGTGTACATCATCATATTACATCATTCAGGAATTTTGGTGGAGTGATTATGCAAAAAACGTTATGATTGGCAATTGGTTTTAAAAAAAAAAGGTCTTATAAGAATCCACTAATCTGAGTATCGATTGCAATGAACTCATCGATTATTGCAGGGTTTAACTATGCGCAGTCTTGAGTTGGTTTATTCGGGTGTGCGTACATAAATTATTATCATCTATCTGTCTACGTGTAGAAACAGAAAATCATACCTTGGACGTAAATGGTGTGTAGTATGATGCATAGACGGGATCTATCGTAAGTACATACACATGCATTGTTTTGAGTGAAAAGGTTAGGATCGATTTCGTTCAAAGAATGTAATTTTCTTTCCATCTCTGATTAAAAATTATACAATCTCAGCATATAATCGAAGGTAAATGGGAATGTCCCAACAATTAATCGATTATTTATACAATTAATAAATATATATATATATTTTTTTTTGATTACACCTTCAATGCTGGATCTTACAAATAAATCTCTAGAAAAAAAAATTTTTTTATATTACAATTACTTTAATTAATTAAGGAATAAAATAAAGTCGCAAATACAAAACAACAAAGGAAACAATTATTTATCTTAATCTTGACTAATTCCCTTCTTCAATTCAAAAATCCTCTACATTTCGATGCTCCACAATGGCAGGGAATCTTATCAAAATTATCAATTGGAAACTATATTCGATAATTGTACACGAGTAAAATTATATAATTGTCGATTTAGTATTTCATTTATTAAGTTATTTAATTGCCAATGAAAACGACATGCTTTAGTATATGTTATGACATTCAACAAAATGCGAGCACCATGATTACATAAAAACGTATTGAAAACACAGAATACGATTAATATTTTTACCTTATAATCATACGTAATTTCTTCATTTTTTTGTATGTCCCTCTTTGCATATATAGCTATCTTCTTGGCTCCTTTGACGTTAAGTATCTTTGCATTGCAATTCGGCTACATGATTATAAAATTCGATTAGGAACAGTATGAGATTCGATCGGTTCATCTCACCAGCCTTCCTTTTCACCTTACCTCACAGGAATGATTTATCAGCCTCGCATTATTTCCCATTCGAGTGGCATCGATTATGGTATCATCTCCCACCCGAAACATATAACTACCTTCGATTCCTGCTGCTCTATATTTTCTCTCTCGCAAATCTGCGACTGATTGTCTAACCAATTCTCCTGTGTATTCGATTATGAATTCTCCGGATTTGATCTTTTCCAATGTAAACAATCCATAATGATGGATAGATGATTTGGCTATTGTAAGTTCTCGTTCTCTTGATTTCAACGGACTAAATCCGTAATAGTCATCTGCCATTCGTGCTTGAAGTTCTCGCCGCTTGGCCCTTGATTCTCTAGGACTAGGTGCCGGTGCTGCAGCCGTCGCATATGGCGTACCTGCGATTCCATATGCCACATACTTTCGCTTTTTTTCGGGTGGTATTTTATAATATCCCTCGGTTCTTGCACATCCTGTTTTGTGCGGTCCTGGCGATGATCGGCGATCTTTGGTAGCATTTGATGCACCTTTTTTAAAAAAGAAAAGAAGGATGAATTAAAATAATGATTTTCTTTTTTTTCAGAAACAAAAGTGGGAAGTATACTATCTCAATCCACGAAGACTTACGGTTCGTTTTAGCAATACTTCTGCTTTCTTTTATCGTCAACTTACCATTTGCACTATGCTGTTTATTCTTTTAAAGTAAGACGATAAATGGCAAGTCGAACGTGTGTTATTCTGATAGCAATTAAATACGACAAACAATTCGTTGGACCAACATATAATTACCTCACTATCGTCATTAGATGAATTGTATTCACTGGTTTGCTTCACGCTGTCGCTACTATCCGACAGATTATCAGCATATCTGTATCCGGTGGAATTATTAGAAAAACCATATCGCTACACTAATATCTTAAATCAGATCAATATTAAAACATAAACTGAACCTTAACTGTTGTTTCGTGGATGTTTTAACTTCCGATCTGTGTGACGTATTTGGTGAGGAGACAGCCTTCGACCTTCGACTTCCCTTGGATTTGTTGGTAGCCTCGGGATTGGCAACGATAACTCGATTCTTTAATTCACGAGGCTTTGTAACGGAACCAGGTCCGATAGAGGTCGTCTTTCTACTAGCCTCTGATGCACTCGAGGCGTTAGATTTACTAGATCTGTATATTTTCTTACCAGCCTCGGATGCACTTGAAGCATTAGATCTTTGTGTTTGTTTTTTGGATTGAATTTTATCAGGAATAACGAGTGTTTTAACTGAAAGTCCCTTATCTTCTATATCTTCTTCATTGATAGGTTTAACCCTTCCGGATTTTTCTGACTTCGACAATGACTTAACAACATTAGAATCCTTCTCTGATTCGGATGACGACGAATAGTCCCAGTCACTAATGTTCGGTCTTATGACCTTAGAAGATTTAGTGTTCGATCTAACATTTTTTCGACTATTAGTATCGTAAAAGTCGTCATCTGAATCAGATGAATCATTAGCCGTCGAAAGATGACCATATATGTCATCATCACCCGAAGAATATTTAACACCAGGTCTAGATGATTTCTTTGAATCTAATTGTCTCTGACGAGTGGAGCTCTTGTTTTCCTTGGCGTTAACTCTTTCTTCTTTATTGCCAGATGTAGACGAGTGACTATTTTGACCTTTTGATCTTTCGGACTTCTTGTTATCCTTGGACTTGTTGAGATCGGAGAATTTACGAGCACTCGGAATATCCGACAATGATGTAAATGCTTCAGAAAAACTTATTCCTATCTTATGTTCCTCTTCTTCCTCAAATTTGATCGTGTCAACGCTAGGGGTCTGATCGTGGTTATTGTCCTTATTTTCGGTGGTACGACTCTCAACGTTGGTACGGGTAAATTTCGGTTTTTCCGGCAAACCCCAACCATGAACAGAATCACGTTCCTTATTACGAGCGTTTTCTTTATTTCGATTTTGATCACGGCTACGGGAATGATTTACATCGCGATCATGTTTACGACTGCTTTCATATCCACGTTCCCGGTTCCGAGAAGACTTATGGTGCCGACTGCGATAACTAGTTGGACTTCGGTCACGACTTCGACTTCTCTCGACAGTCGAATATTTACTTTTGCTTGATCGATCCCTAGATGAATTTCTTCTCCTACGATCTGAGCTATATCGATCGTTCTCATATTGCGAGTGGTCATGATCTCGCCAAGTCGACCGTTGTCTCGAGTCCAAATGTCGCCACACCGAATCAATTGCGTCTCTCTCGAAATCTCTTACCTTTTCTCTAGAATCGTACCGATTCGAAGAAGAATGAGATATTCGCGGTGTGGATTCTTCTGAATTGGGGTCTGCCGGAAGAATCGAAATTTACCCG